GAAGTGGCTTTAGATTCTCAATGCTGTGCTTTAACCCGCTGCGCCACCAGGGAGGGCCTGTACATTGAAATTTTTAAATGGTATATATAATATTTTATTCATGCCTTCATGTTGTTCTTCTTTTGTTTGAATTGTCCTTTCAGCAGTATTCTGGTGTGAACCAGCTGTCCTCCAGTCTGGGGGGCCTGAGTCTTCAGAGTTCTCCACAACCAGAAAGTCTGAGACCCGTGAACCTCACTCAGGAAAGGAACGTTTTACCCCCGACTCCTGTTTGGGCGCCTGTACCTAACTTGAATTTAGACCTCAAAAAGCTAAACTGTAGCCCAGAGTAGGTATTTCAATTTTACAATCTTTAGGAAGTAACATACTTTGCTGAAAACATTAACTAAAAACCATATAAGTAAATATAGTATGAATTCCTGTATTAGAAGCTTTGGTAATGTGCACTTTTCTCTTTTATTTTGTATGATTGTTACAGATATAAAGTCAGTCCATTTGGTCATCTGTTCTGTCCCTATCTATGTCTCCATTCAGCTCACTCCCTACCACTGAACGCTAGGGAAATTTTGTTTTACATTTTGAGAGCAGAATTTCAGGAACCTAAACCTCTATCTCTCTTTTCTTTGTCTCCCTCCCCGCCCCCACCACTAATAATTTATGATGTCTTTTTAAATAAGGCAGAAGAACGTTGAAGATTTTATTCGCCCAGTCTTTGAAAATAACACAACCTTCACTGACGTAATCCTGAGAAAGGGTTTAGATAGGTGGTTTGTCTGTGTATTTTCATTCTGCACTCTTAAGTATAAAGTGTCAGGGCCATCACTCCTCACTTGGTTATCTGGACTGATTGTAGGGCTGGATTTCCATTGTTGTTTGCACTTCTTTTGTTGAATTTTTCTTCCCCTCATGGAGAAGTTTAGTGGTCACCCTGCATTTGGCCCACCAAGTGGCTATGGCTGGCTTGCAGTTGTGTCTCCAGGGAGGGCCATATTTGCCCTGTACTTGTGAGAGTGAGCTGCTCTTGGGTGGGTAAGTGTGCAGATTACAGCCTTGTATTGTGGTCAGACATGCCCTAAACAGGTGATGTAGCGTGTGTGAGTGAGAGTGAGAGAGATCCCATGGGCAGAGGATGGTGTCTGTGTTTCTGCTCAGTTGTGTGAAAGTATCTTTCTTATCAAAATAGCAATAGGGTGCAGGCTTCATAATTGGACAGACCGTGGGGTTCCACTGATAAATAACTGCGAGGCCTTGTACAGATTATTCAGTAGCTCAAATTCTCAATAACAGAAATTAAACAGGAATAGTAACTACACCTGCACGTTAACATAAATCATTCCGTAAATTTTTATTGAATGCCTTCTTAGTAAGTGAAGTCCCCAACACAGTTTGGAGATTCTGTTAATGAAGTGGTAAACAAAGTTCCCAGTCTTCGGGAGCCTACACCCTATTAGGAAAGTCATACTACAAAGAGTCCAACCATGGGGTACAAGGTAGGAGATTGCTGTGAGGTAGGGGGTAATAGTGAGTGTGGGGTCAGGATAAGCTCCCCAAGGAGTCCACCTTTGCGTAGCGAGGCACTGGAATGAGAATCTGGGAGCAGTGCTGGGCAGCCTGTGCAGGAGAGAATGGCCACGCCTGGTCTTGGCAGCTCCCGGGACAGCACCACATCAACAGATTTTAAAACTCTCTCTTGCTCTCCAGCCCTCCATCAGCATCTTTCCTCTGTGTGCTCCTGTATGGCTCTGCTTCTCTACCCATAACTTCATGGCCTGTGTCATGGCTTTGTGAAAGGACAATATAGGGCCATGTGAGGATAGTGACCTCTGATCTCAGGCCAAGCAGACAGAGGGGGTGCATGGATCAGCTAAGCAGTCAGGCTCTGATGCCATGGAGCATAGACGTATCAGAGCTCAGAGAATCTATTCCTGTCACTCGTGAGCTGGGAGAGAGTGGCTTCAGAAGCAGCAGCTTTGAGCCTTACAGTAAATTTCAGCATGGGAAGAATGGACAGCAAAGATGCAGCAGTGTCTTTTCACCCTTTCCACTCCCTCTTACTCATGTCCTTCAGGAGCGTCAGTGCCTCTCTGAATGTGCTGTGCATTCCCCCGTGAGGATGTTGAGTCCTTAATTTAGGTCTTTGGACAAGTGTTTTGTCAACAACTGTTTAAAGTAATCCTATTTGTTGTATATTGCATACCCAAATAATTTTCACTTATGCCTTGAAATGTCTTTAATCATCTGTAACTCCTGTCTGTTTCATTATATTTTCCTCTGATAATACGGTTTGCATTGTTTATATTTTTTGCAGTTCATTTCGATGTACTTTGACGAATATTCCACAGACACAGGCTTTACTGAATAAAGCTAAACTTCCTTTGGGATTGCTGTTACATCCCTTCAGAGACCTAACGGTAAACTTAACATTTCAAATTATTTGTGGTTGTTAGCATGTTTCTTAATGTGCATACACTCAGTATTTTTTTTTTATAATTTTTTGAGGAACCTCCATCACACTTCCTGTATTGATCGTACCATAAACCAGTTCATAAGGGTTCCCTTTTTTCCCATATCTCTGCTAGTACTTGTTACCTCTTAACCTTATTTTTTAAATACTTATTCTGATTTACTTATGCATATAAGAACTAGGTGTAGGCCCAAGGTGCAGGGGGTTGAAAGGATTCACCAGAGACAGGTGGGGAGCAGGACAGGCAGATCTGCTGAAATACACTGCTGAGGGGAGCAGCCATGAGGAGACAGGAGTGGTCTGTTGTGCCATGGGGGTCAGCTCTGTGGCGGGGGATTGAACTCAGGCCTCAGTGGCTGGAGATAGCTTGGTAGAGCTGAGACTTTCACCCCAAGGCCACCAACGAGGCCCTTTTTCCCATCTTTTTATATTTGAAGTTAGAAACTGCCATTTTGGTGAAGTTCAATTCAGTAAGCACTTTCTGAGCACCTGCTCTGTGACAGAACCCTAGCGTGAGCACTGCTGAGCACAGAGGGTGGTGGTGGTGTCCTTGCTTCAGGTAGTCTTACCTGACGGGACACAGTTGTAAAGCCATAATCACAGTGTAGGATTAACACATACGGCTGATCAAAGGATCAGACAGGTACAATGTGGTTCCCTCTGATAGGGAGCAGTTTTCTTTGAGGGGTGAAACATGAACCACATTTGAAAGATTGATAGTTTTGGGAGTTGGAATGTCATATAAGACAGGTAAACTTTAGGAGTCATTTATTAAGCATAAATGAAGTAACAGTAGTATGTCTGGACAGGGAGAAAATTATGATTTTTCCTAACCGTACTTATTAAGTTTGCATAGTCTATTTGGTTTGATACCTCACTTGCAAATTTTTATCTCATACTTGTGGTGTTTCATGTAAATGTGTTGTATTTAAAATGTAAGTTTTAGAAATAGTTTATCCAGATACATTTTTTTTTAAAGATTTATTTATTTGTTCATACAGAACTGGGGTACAGGCCAGAGGCTCAGGGGCGGTAAGAGGCTTCACCAGAGACAGAGGGGAGAACAGAACAGGCAGATCGACGAAGTACACTGCTGAGGGGAGCAGCGGGCGGGTCAGGAGAGGTCTGCCACGCCATGTGGTCACCTCCAGGGCAGGCGGGAATCGAACTCATGCGGAAGCAGCTTTTTAGATTCTCAATGCTGTGCTTTAACCCGTTGCGCCACCAGGGAGGGCCTATCCAGGTACATTTTTTAATATACTTTATAAGCTGTATTTCTCCCTCACTTTTTTACTGCTGTTTTTGCCACTCTTAATGGTAATGGCTTTCTTTACTAGTATTCATCCAGCAACTATTTGTGGACTAGCTACTAGGCTGTTGTAGACGCTGCAAATATAAAGGGTCAGTAAGCTTCCTGGCAGAGCTTACTTTCCTACTAGGATATACAGAAAGGAGCAAAGTGAATAGAACAGAAAATAAAATAATTATACAATAAGTTACATAACTTGAATTGATTCATTTAATAATATTTGATCACTTAAACAAATTTCACCTATATAAATAGTGAGAATTTTTCTCTGAATGCAGTTTCCATCTGTGATATCTTCTGGAAATAGATACACTAAAGTGGCAACAGTGGCCTCTGTTAGGATGTAGAATTCTGGGTAATTTGTTATTTTGTAATTTTTCAATTGTAATTCCTAATTTTCTTCAAAAACCATATGCAGTCACTGAGTAATAAAATTTACATGTGGAAAAATGCCATACAAAAGATGAAAACTAGTAAAAATGTTTATGTAAAGATGGGAAAAACCAGGAAGAGATACACTACAACGCTACTGAGGCTAATTCAGAGAGAATAATATGTGACTTCCTCATCTTTTCACTGGATTCTAAATTTCTTAGTTAGAACATAAAGCTCCTTTCCCACACTAAGCCAGAACAGTGTGCTCTTAAAAGGCTGGTGGAGGCCTCTGGGGGCGGGCTGGGCCCTGGGACAGGGATGCGGCTGTGGAGATGGAGGCACTGAGGTGTGGTCTGTCTCTCTGCTGCCTCTGCAGCCCAGTGGATGAACTCTGAGTTCCTTTACTTTCTCAGCCAACTAGGTTGTTAGCTAGTGACTTTTATTGTGCTTGGTGTGCCTTTACGTGTGGTTAACTTCCAGTCTGTGACGAAGGGCAAGGAAGCTGGTGGCAGCCCCTGTGGACCCACTCGCCACTGGGTTGTATGGAAATGCATCGTGTCACTCACAGTTATGGTGCCTGTGCTGTACTGGAGCGGGGTGAGGGGTTCCATTCTCCCTGGTTGCTTTTTTCGCTACAACCACCTTCTTTTACCTCCTAGCAATTACCGGTGATAACGTCAAACACCATCGTGAGGTGCCGGTCTTGTCGGACATACATCAATCCTTTTGTCTCTTTCATTGATCAGCGGAGGTGGAAGTGCAATTTGTGCTACAGAGTTAATGATGGTGAGTTCCAGACTCGCAAAATAAGTGTGTTAAATATTTCGCTTTTTCACGTCTTTGTCACCTTAGCTCCTCATTGCTTAAAAACTAATGCCAAAAAAAAAAAAAATTAATGCCATTTTTCATGGGGAGAATACAGGCCAAGGTCACTTCCTTTGGGCCAGCCGTGGGGAGAATCAACGAGAGACAGGACAGAAAAAGGTCTTGAGGGTGGGGACACACAGACTCACAGGGACGGTCTCACTTTACCGGTGGTCAGTGGGGCCCAGGTGGGTACACATGGTATAGGCCTGTGTGTCCGCCTGTCTTTGGGGCCCTTCAGTCCTTTTTTTTTTTTTTTTAAAAGATAGATTTATTTATTTGTGCATACAGAACTGGGGTACAGGCCAGACGTGTAGGGGCAGTGAGAGGCTTCACCAGAGACAGAGAGGGGAGCAGGACAGTTAGAGCAATGAAGCACACTGCTGAGGGTAGCAGCAGGCTGATCGGGAGAGGTCTGCCACACCCTGTGGGTCACCTCCAGGGCAGGGATCAAACTCATACTGAAGTGGCCACCACCACTGAGCTCAGTCGAAGTGCTGAGCTCAATCTGCTGTGCCACCAGAGAGAGCCCTTTAGTCATTTCTTAGCTCCTCTAACTGTAAACATTTTCAAATTTCTATTTCTGATTTTTTTTTCTGTGTTAGATGATGTAATAAATAGAACAAAAACCAAAGAAGTAAGGTTAGCTCTCTCTTGATTTCCTCTCCTCATTTCAGAAAATAAGTTGTTGGATTTTTTTGAAATCTTTCTGATGTGTTCTTTTAAGGGGCCTTAAGAGATTAGTTTGAACCATTTGATGGTCACAGAATTCTTATAAACCTCTTATAAATACTGGTAATAGAGACATTTATTTCCAGGCTTGGCTGTATATATTTGGTTCCCAATTGTGTCACTAAATCTGTACTCAATTCCTAATTCTTACCTAGTTCCTGAAGAATTTATGTATAACCCCCTTACCCGGTCTTATGGAGAACCTCATAAACGGCCAGAAGTTCAGAATTCAACGGTGGAGTTCATCGCTTCTTCAGATTACATGGTAACTGTTCCCTGCTAAGTGAGTCATGGAGTACAGTGATACTGGTTGTAATTGACTGTTACATGAATTCTTGTCCAAATTTTAAAGCTGTCCCAAATACGAATTTTTTGAAATACATTAATGCTGAGTGGTTAGCCCATTTCTTTCTCGATTTTTGTAATTTGCTTTTGTTTTTGTTGTATTTATTGAAGTAATGTTGATTGACATCATATTATGTGTCTCTGGGGTATAGGTTTACACCCCTACATTTGCTTTTATTTCACCACACCCACCACCAAACTACACTCATCCTCCAGGAGACTCGTCTCTTCCTGTTACTCCCCTCCTTCCCATTCACACTCCTCTTCTGGTAGCCTTATTTTTATAATTTTAAAGATTCTTTGTGTTCAGCTTAGTACCTGCCTACTTTAACCTGGTATCTTCTTGTCTGTTATATGTTAACTGTACTAATCTTTTCTTCAACATCTTTACTCTCAAGTTCTTACCTTCTTTACACCTAACTCATTCATGTTGTCAGCCTTATTTTGGTACCTTAGGAATTTTAATGTAATTGAAAAAATTACAAAAAGTAATTTTTAATTTTAGTGCTGATACCCTTAAGATCCTTGTTTGGCATGTTTTTAAAAAGACTTTTTGCATCCCTTCTACAGCAGTAATTTTCAGGTGTACTTAAAAAAAAAAAAAGGAAAATAATGTCTTAACCATCATTTACTCATCAGCAAGCTTCAGTTATCAGCATTTTGCTAAATCTAGCTCATCTATCATCAGTCTAGCTATGCCCCCTTCCCTCAACTTCCCACATTGAAGTTGATTAATACTAACCCCAGTGTCATATCAGTTAACCCATAAATACTTGTGTGGAATCTCTAGTGGAGAAAGCCTTGGCATACTGTGCTACAGCAAGGTCTCCCTTACACATAGTATCTAACCCTTTAGAATAGTACTAGTGGTTGTCAAATTTTAAAAAGTATACTACTTTTAAATGTTTTTAGCAGCAAGAAGGGAGGTTAGTATTAAAAAAGCATACTTAAGCCACAGTCAAAATTATGAGAAAAAGAGTTAGAGGAATGTCATTTTAATTAGCACACAAGATCTTACAAAACATCGGTCCTATTTGATTTTTTTTTTTTTTTTTTGTATAGTGGATTCAGTAAATCAGGTGTTAGTGACATGAAAGGAGTAAAGTGTCCCTACTAAATAAGTCACATTATTTTTTTTTCCTTTCAGCTTCGTCCTCCTCAACCAGCAGTTTACTTGTTTGTTTTGGACGTGTGTCATAATGCAGTGGAAGCTGGATATTTGACCATTTTGTGCCAGTCGTTATTAGAAAATTTAGACAAGTAAGAATTTTTTTACTTAAAACGTGTATGTGAGTGTATATAAATTTCATGTTTTTAGCTGTTTATGGAATTGGTTTTCAAATAAATTTGATTTCCTTTATTCATTGGCTAAAATAATAGGTCCCCTCCACTGCAGAATAAGGTGCTACTTGGACCTCTGAAATTTATGACTGGGTATCTGAGTCATTAAAGCTCCCATACTTAATGAAGAATGAAGATCTGATTCACTGTCTTCTGAATGAGCAGTCTGAGCACTGGGGCCCAGAAATCTGACAGGGCCAAGCTATCAGGGGAGCCAGTGAGAGGATTACAGCTGTAATTGATGCCTGAGCACCGAGTTTTATGGGAGATGGTTTTAGTGGGAATTTGAACCTGATCAAAGGAATGAGGGAATTGGCTATGTGCTGAATATTTCAGGAGGCTAGAAATTGAGCTCTTCTTTGCACAGTAGGCCTGAGCTGTACTGTGGAAACAGGAAAGCTTGTTTATATCCTATTGATTCCTGATCTTGTATCTACTGGTGTTAGGGAGGAAACCCTTGACTGTCTTTAAAAACGAATCTTCCGAATCTTTGGAAAAGCAAAATTGTTTGTGCATTTCTTTACTCCAGTTCTCACAATAGGTAAGATTTGGGGCTGCTAGTCAGGGTGGCTCGCGCCCTGATAGTTGTGGAGGTAGCGGTGTATGATTCCTTGTCAGAGTGCTCTTGGATACCCCAGAGGTTCTTCCTCCCCATCATCCCAGTTGAGTTTGAGAGTCCCCACTACGTTGAGAGCTAGCTAGTTAATGTAGTCTGTATGTCACTGATCTTGTTGGCCCATGATTAAAAAAAAAATCCAGAGATACTAAGTGACTTGCTTCTAATTTCTGTTAGTAATTTAAGAGTTTTCAAATTTATCATCCAGTCAAAGCATTTTCCCTTTCTTAGTGACAAGGGCTTACTTCAGATACAGCTTTAGATGTGAGTGACAGTAGACTACAATGCAAGAAAGCTCTTTCCATACAGAAGCGGGGAAAAATGTGAGGACATAGTTCTAGAAATAGACACCAGTCCAACAAAGATGAGTGACTGTGGATGAAATAGACTATGCAAAGCCAGAAGGATAAAACGGAGAATAGAAAATATTGTGTTGTTGGAAGAGTCATGATGTCATTCTTGTTTTCTGTGCAAAAACCGTGTCTTGACTGTTCTAGCATCCTAATAGTTAAAAGTATATTTGATTACAACTCAAAATAAAGCATTAAGAAAATCAAAACAAAAAGTGAGGTGAAGAGTAGCATCCGTAAAGGAGCATGGATCTTGGAAACACACTGAGAAAGGATTCATGCCAGAGCAGTTCTGCCTCAACTCAGTATTTTGAATTTGAGGAGAGTGGGCAAAGTTGTCTCCGTTCTAATTGGTAACAGTAAGTTAGAAATTGTAAAGAAGTAAAGGTTAATCTGCAGAAACATAATAAATTTTGACTAGTATAGGCTAGCTAGACATCCACATAACCTGTTGAGTGCTTTCTCAGCTAGCTTGCTGACTTCATCTGAGTGGCCTGATCAGACATGCATAATAATAACAGTGCTTCTCAGCTTTGTTTTGGCATACTGTAATATTCGAAAACAATGTAAAGGTACTGCTAAAACAATAAATTATGTAACATCAGTTAACTTGGTTTCCAGTACTTAGAAATGTACTTCTGCGAGATGAGGCATCTGTCTTGCTAACAAGGAGAGCTTGGCAGGCAACGAAATGGTAATTTATTCTTTTATGTTGTGGCATTGACATTTGAATACTGACTTCTAGCAGAAAAAAAAATTAAAAGATTAACAATCGATATTATGGCTCAGTGTTCTTAAATAGATTTTTATTTTAAATTTTACACATAAAAGTCTGATTTGCATTCTTTTTTTTTCCTGAAAATACACATTTGTTAACTGTCTTTAAAATATTTAAGCCAAGGCCCTCCCTGGTGGCACAGCGGGTTAAAGCACAGCACTGAGAATCTAAAGCCGCTTCCGCATGAGTTCAATCCCCGCCTGCCCCGGAGG